AAGATGCAGAGCAGGCAATATGGACCAGAGGAGGGGGGAGGGTGTGGCTGGAATGTTAAGTCAGAGGAGGACAGAGAAGCCTCTACTGAGAAGGTGATAACAGGAACACCGCTGGGGTGTCTGCCACCTGCAGCTTAGGAGCTAGAGAGTTCCGGGCAGAGGGATGGTTCACGTGAAGGCCCTGAGGCCAGAGACACCTTGGCCCCAGGAAAAGGAAATAGGCCTGTGAGGCTGGAGCAGAGCGAGCAAGGATGACACAAGCAGGAGATGAGGCCATGATCTTGGGGGAGTAGAGCAGGGAGGGCCCAGGTCTGCAAACATTTCTCTCCCACATCAATAGAATTAAATATGTATTTTTTATTTATATTATAAATTACAGGCCGGGCGTGGTGGCTCATGCCTATAATCCTAGCACTCTGGGAGGCCAAGGCGGGTGGATCGCTCGAGGTCAGGAGTTCGAGACCAGTCTGAGCAAGGGCGAGACCCCATCTCTACTAAAAATAGAAAGAAATTATCTGGAAAACTAAAAATATATATATAGAAAAAAGTTAGCCGGGCATGGTGGCACATGCCTGTACTCCCAGCTACTCGGGACACTGAAGCAGGAGGATTGCTTGAGCCCAGGAGTTTGAGGTTGCTGTGAGCTAGGCTGACACCATGGCACTCTAGCCAGGGCAACAGAGCCAGACTCTGTCTCGAAAAAAAATATATATATATATTATAAATTACAACACTTAAAAATAACAGAATTATCTCACATATTTAAAATACATACCAATAAATTCAGCTAAGCCCCAGGAAGTACAGGGTACTCCTCATCTGAGAGGTGGGGACTCCTGGGGAATGAGCTTGGGGGAGCTCAGGAAGTGATTTTTGGACCTACGAGGGTGGAGATGCCTGTTAGACTGCCCAGCAGAGACGTCACAAAGACAACTAGCCAGAGGATTCTAGAGTTCTGGGGAGAGGTCAGTAGGGGAAATGGAGACACGTAGTGGGGCTGAAATCATGAGAGGAGATGAAAAGGAAAGGCGGTGGTTGTGGACACAGGACAAGAGGTTCACGGATCAAACTGTGGTTCGCTCCCACATTCAGACAACAGGCAGTTCAGGAGACACCAGCAGAAGAAAGCTCCAAGGGATCACGGAGTTGACAACAAACTTAAATAGATTTTTAAAGGTTCGTGGGATGTCCTCAAGGCAAGATAAAAGGAGAGAGAGAGAGATCTGCTGTGCAACATGCTGCTGACAGGAAAAAAAAGATGAGGACAGGAAAGTAAATATTGGTTTTAGAAATAGGAAGATCACTGATGACTGAAAAAGAAAATCTCAGTGGAATAGTGGATGTGAAAGCTTGATTGGATGGGGTCAAGACAGAATTGAAGGCAAGAACTGAAGACAGAGTACCAAGTCTTTAGCTTTTAAATGGAAATAGAAGAGCGGTGCTTACTACCGGAAAATATGTATTTCATAGAGATTTTTTGTTTTAAAGATGGAAGAATGGAGGGAAAAAAGCCTCATTTTGTTGGTGTGTGTGTGTGTGTGTGTGTGTGTGTGTGTGTATGGGTGGGTGTCTGTTAATGGACAACACCACCATCTGGGTACACTGATCAAAATAACTCAATTGAAGAAAAATTGATGGTGCCATAGAGGGAGGATGCCATGCCATCTTTGACTGCTAGTCGGGCTAGCAAGTGGTGCACAATCGCAGGGCCAGAGACAGCCAGGAGCAGGGACTGACCATTCCCAGTCACTACAGAGTAGAGATCACAGGCCCTGAGACGGGAGTGGGGTAGGTGGGGGTGGGGCTGTGGGAGCAAAATTCTCCCTTTGCTTCCAGGGCCTCAGTGGAAAAAGAAAACAAAGGTCTTTGAAAGAAAAGACAAAAGAGGAGGCATTAGGCTACTGAAGGGATCAAGAGGAAAGGTGTGGAACACACAAATGTCGAATTGCAAGGAGGAGAAAACTGAAGTGAGACAAGTCAGTTTGGGTGTCTATTTTCTCCAGGCTGTGATCAGCCGCAGGCACAGAAACAGAGTAGGCAGAGCTGGATGAAGTAGTGATGTCACAGAGAAGCAAGGGAAGTAAGGGCTCCTGGGGGGATGATTACATCAGCTCTTTGTATTGGGGCATTTGAATTATATGACTATTAATTACCGAAAGGGTTTCTTTTTCTCTGTTCTTTAAAAAATAATCTTGCCAGTGCGGCAGCTCGTGCCTGTGGTCCCAGCTACTCAGGGGGCTAAGGTCGGAGGATCACTTGAGGCCAGGAGTTCAAGACCAGCTTGGGCAATATGTCCACATCTCATCTCTAAAAATAAAAATAAATAAAAATAAAAAATCTGGGTAAAGTAGTGGAGTATATTCTGTTGGTTTACCATTTTAATCCCTGTTGCAGACAAAAAATCCTGGCTCCATATGGAATAAATAAGTGTATAAATGAGAATGACACAGCCGTATCAGTACACCCTCTGGCACGGCCTTCACTTTGAGGAGTCTGGATTTTGTCCTGAGGAACATGCGAAGCCAGTGGAGGGTTCAACGCCAGGGACTGGCATGATCTGCTTTTAGATTTAGTCATGATAACTCAAATGCAGAGAAAGATGGTCTCTCTTAGCAGTCTTGGTTTTTCTCATTTTTGTACTTTTGTTTTTGTTTTCATTTTTAGAGGACTGGGTCCCACTTAAAATTCTACCTGAAACTGTGCACTACACTGTCCCAGAAGAAAAGCCACACACAGACATGCACTCCATTTGGTCAATCACTTCGGGGGTCAATGAAGCTCAGACTGAGGCTTTTCTGGTCTAATTCCTCATCTCTTTGTTACATGTGGGCTCACTGAGGCTCAGAGGGGGGGACATTTCACTAAGTTATCCTGAGAAGGTCTAGGTTGAGTGAGGAGGAGGGAGGTGTGTCTTCTAGGCCACCATTCTGATATGGTGGCCTAGAAGGGCCAATGGGCTGGGACTGTCTCTGCCACACTACCTCTAGAAAAGTCCAGGATCGTCTCTCACATACCTGAGAAAAAGAAACTTCTCTTTACACGTTCTGATTCCATTGATCCCAAACATTTCATTCCTGTGTACCAGAAAAAACAGTAATATACTAAAAAAAACAGACAATTGTGAACACATACCTGTAGATGTTTAAAAGAGAATTGCTGTAAAAATAAGCTCTGAGCAAATTCTTTCTTCATGAATACATGGGCTCTGCTGGAACAAACTTCCAAGTCAATCCAATCCACCGTTTTACATTTGCAGAGAACAGAATGGATCAGAGGGACTAGAGAGGAACATCTATTTAGCAGCTCACAGCTCACAATTTTATCAGATGACATTGGTAAGAAAATTGAATAACAGACTAACTCTTTCAACTAGGTTTTGATATTAAGGCTAAAAAAAGTCACTGATATCCTCACCAAGTACACATTGAAACAATCTAAAATTAAATATTACATACCAAAAAATGTTTCCAATATACAATAAAGGCTAGCTGGGTGTGGTGGCTTATGCCTGTAATCCCAGTGACTTGAGAGGCTAAAGCAGGAGGATCGCTTGAGCCTGGGAGGTAGAGGCTACAGTGAGCTATGATTGTGCCACTGCACTCCAATCTGGGCTACAGAACAAGGCCCTGTGTCTTAAAAAAAATAAAATAAAATCTCATCGTGGAAACAATAGAAAAAAAAAAAAAACCCAAACCAGTCACAATTAATTTCGAAGAGAAACAATTTCAAAATTATTAAAAAAACCTAACGAATTCTGAGGTCAAAGGAAAAAATTTGAAAATAAGTCATACTTTAAAAACAATGACGTGAGGAGATCCTATCAAAGCTATTTCAGAAGTAATTACATACAGAAAACTAGAAATTGAATAAACTAAGAATTATCTTAAGCTTCAAAAAATAACTAACGAAATGAAAAAGAACTAGGAAAAAAAGTAAATCCACTATAAAGAGAGAACAAAATCACTTTTAATGTTCCTTTTAAAAGGTACCCTGCAGAAACAGACTCCCTTACTTCTTCCCCACTTCACACCCCCACTCCCCATCCCATCCCATCCCAGCAAAAAAGAAGAGAGTGACCCACAACTGAATGAATGAAGTCACTGCCCCCTGGCTGAACAGGGACTGCAAATAGATACCAAGAATTACACAATGCACCAGCTTTATAGACAGGAATTTGGCAATTCTCATCTGTAAAATTTAAACAACTTTTAAATTTTTTACAGTATAAAGAGAGAAATGAACACGTTACAACTTAATCATCATATTCAATCAACTCACCACTTATCTGGACCTGGGGTCCCCCTCTTTATTACTCTTCTCCCCCTCATTCTGTTCTTATCTTTTAACCTTCCTTCTCTAGCTCTTTTTATTCTTTTCTTTTCTGTGTTTTCTCCTGGGTTTCTGTTCCTCAGTTGCACCCCTCTCCTCTCCTGCTCCTTCTCCCCTTCTTCCCTCTATTCCTTCTCTTACGCCTGATCTGCCCCAGTCTGGAAACTTGTTTCACTTCTTGTTCCTCTTTCTCCCCAATCTTTTCCTGCCCCACTCTCCTGCTCCTTCCTCATCTCTGCTACCCCTGTGCTCTCCCTGTGACACCCCCTTGTCCTCACTCTCTGGCACCGCCAGGTCCCTAGGCTTCCTCCCTGCTGCGGTTCCGCCTCTGCTCCCCTTGTCACCAGGTGTCTCCTCTCCTCCCAGCGCCAGGCTGCTCCGTCTGCGCTGGCTCCGAACCATTCATCCCCTCCCCCACTCTGTCTGAGGGCCTCCCCCTTTGCTGCCCTCTCCCTATCTTGCTGTCACCCAGCTGCTCCCTAAATTTCTCCCGTGACTCTTCTCCCCCTGCTACCTTCTCAGCTTCTTTCGCTATTACTGCGTCTTTGCGAATCCCCCCCGCCCTCTACTCTGCCATCTGTTTATGGGTCTCCCTCATTCTGTCCTTTCGTAGTTTTTCTCGCGGTTGCGCTCTCTCCTTCTCCTGGGATCCCCTTCGCCCACCCACCCACAGGGAGGGGACGGAACAAGAGGCCCGCCTCCCGGAAGAGCAGCATTTTCCAGTGCGGTGCAACTGGGGACAGAAGAACGCTGGGTGTCACCAACCAGGGCTCAGGGGCAGCGGCGACTGCTGGCAGAAGTCTGGAGAGCTGAAGGATCCGGCCTGAGGAGGAAGAGAGACGGAGGGCGAGCGGGCCTCAGACACCCAGGGCCGGCGGAGGACGCGGCTCTCGGGCACTGAGCCCACGGACTGCGCGGCCTCCGGGGGCCGAGCCGGGCGAGCGCTGGGCGCGTAGAGGACGCGGGGACTTCACACGGCTCGGGGCGGGAGAAGAGGTCAGTGAAAGGCTGTGAGCAGAAGTGACGCGAACGCGGTGTTTCCCTGCACCGAAGGCAGAAAGACCCGGGGACGGGACCAGCCTCACAGATTTTAACGCAAAGGAAGCGGCTCCCGGATCCACACGGCGAGGTCTGTACGCACCTGCGGTGGAGGGCGGCGTGGGGATGTTAAAGTCCGTAGCGACCCCCGGCACCGAGTAAGGAAGACGTCGGAGGGCGAAGGTCAGGCTGAACCTGGGCAGGGGAAACCCTCCCGCCCCGCGTTCCGCTTCCGGGACTGCGGAGAAGTGGGACAGCGCAGAGAAGAGGCCGCGCAGCCTGGGGGAGGGGCGGGGGCGGGGTGTGGAGAGAGGCCGCGTCTGAGCTGGGGGGAGGGGGCAGGGCGTGGAGAGAGGCCGGGTCTGAGGCGGGAACGGGGAGGGGGCGGGGCGTGGAGAGAGGCCGGGTCTGAGGCGGGAACGGGGAGT